GAGGGGTCTGCTGGTTCGGGGTTGGGGGGAGGAAGAAGAAGGGAGGAATTGTGGTGGTGGGGAGGGGATAAGGTGGGAGGGCCCGTCCAAAATTTAAAAAAAATTAGTCCGGGGCGCTCCCGCCTGAGTCTCGGGCGCCAGCGCCTCAGACTAATTAAAAAAATTTGTCTGAGGCGGGGCCGCTTGAGACTGGGGCGCCGGCGCCCAGGACTGGGTAAAAATTTAGTCCCGCCTGAGTCTCAGGTGGTCCCGCCCCAATCCTTACTAAAAACCACAATATCTCTGTAAATAGTTTTAAATTGGCCATATTCGTGGTAAATTAAAAAAAAAACTATATTTCTGTCATTTATCCTACATATACATAACTTTCACATTCTCCTCTATCAATGCACATAAATGTGATATAATAACCATGAAGAGGATTCATTTTCATGATCAATGTAGGGAGGTAATTACCTCCTAATTTAAAATCCCATATGGAATCCAAAGTAGCATCCAATGGACATCTACCATACTATATTGTTTCATAACACTCCCCCTTGGATGTCCATCTATTGAGAATATGCTTCATTAAAACCTTACTAGGAAAAACCCTATGGGATAAAATCCTAGTGAAGGAAAAAGAGTACATAATCATCATAATACGCTATCTGAAACTGCCTCGTTAAAAACCTTACCAGGAAAACCCGGTGGGAAAAACCATGGTTAAGGGAAAAAGAGTGCAGTGCGTATATGCTCCCCCTCATGACAATATTAAAGTGTAGCTTTGTGAACATAGCTTCCAAATATAGTCATGGTAAGTTTCTTAGTGAACAAATCTTTTAGATTGTCACTTTATGAATGATCCATTAGGACCATTTTCTTCATACATGATCTTCAGGATCATTTTTTATGAAGAGAATCCACAACTACAAGTCATTTAGACGTGTTGAATCACAAATCTTAACTAAACAATTCATAACAAGTCTGATGAATTGTTGATCATTGTGCATGATCGGATGATGTTGCTATAGTGATTTCTTTGTAATCTCCATGAGATACTTGTACGACCATAAGTAAACAAATTACTCATCTATGATCTTCATCGTTACCTATAGTAACGACATTAACATACGGTACTTCACGACCTAATAATTCACTTTTATCTCAATGCCTAAATTGATCTTTGTTCACTTCTAGTGACCATGTGATCATTAGGCTGTTGAACATATGCAATTTTTTTCCATACAAAATTGTCCTTTCACCTTTCCGACATTGTCGTACTGATCCAAAAAGGATCTTCTTAAATCCTTCATGTTCAATTTTCTTTCTTTAAGCAATCCATGCTTCATGAAACCCTTATGGAGTTCAATTTTCTTCCATTAAGCAAATCATGCTTTATGAAGCTCTTCTGGAGTTCATATCAACTAAAAGATATGAGATCATTATAAAATAATTTCTCGACTTTTTTCTTCCAAATAACTATAAAACTTAGCTAACACAATTTCATGCAAACAATTACTTCATACAACAAGGTCACAAGCAAAAGGCACGTCATACACACAACATCACTTAACCAAACCACATTCATAAATCAAACTCATAACTAAAACCACAATGTCACGCACATAAGCCTATATGTCATTACACAATCACACATGCCAAATGCAAATGCAAATGCTCTAATGCACTTTATTCAAATTTAATCACTTATTGCAATGGACACCATGTCCAACATCTCTTATTGCAATGGACACCATGTCCAACATAAGTTCTCATGGAACTCATAACTTGTTGTGGTGGAGCAATGGGGATGTATTCTGCACACCCAAATTTTCTAGCATTTTAAATGTTTGGTCTCTGACCAAAACCATTTGTATGAAAGGGGGGAACTTATGATAACTTGTTGGCTTCATGCGAATTAATGATATCATATGCCTCGATAAGAGATCGATAGACTTAGTTTCTTCTCATAAGAGAAGTTCTGTTTGATTGGATAATCATCAAAATATATCCATCATTCGGCAACTAATCTCGCAAACATCAGGTTGCGTTTAGATAACAGACATATATGACGATATAGTTTATGAATCAATCAAAATCATAAAATTCATATATGATTTGCACGGTGAGTGTATTTTTCTGCATACACTTTTATAAAATCTCAACAGATTCAATTATTTTCACGAGTATATTCTCCTCGAGACCATGTATCACATAAACAATCCTTTGATTGATGAATTCTTTGAACTCTCACTTAATTTCCGTATGATATCTCAATCATTTTCGCATCTGTATCCGGGATGGTATGACCGGACATGCCAAAATAAAAAGTTATCCGATCTTGCAAACTTCTAGTTTACACTTTCATATGTACTAATATACATGTAGTACGAATTTCTCTAGTTAATTATATGTTCTCTTATAACACATTTCTGATGCAATATCAATTATGATATTCTTTTCTGCGAATATCTTCATAATTCGGTAATGCATCTTCAACTGACAGTTTAGTTCATTCACGTCTCAAAACATTAGCTCTTCTGGAGCCTTCACATACTCGTGTACTACATTTTAGCCATGAGGCACCTTCTGATTCGCTGAACTATTGTAAGCGCATATACATAGTGATAATAATATTTTCATACTGTGGATATCATCAATATATTGTTTAGTTACTTCAAGTAACAAAACACAATCTCTTCCGGAGCTTTTGCTTACTTTCATACTATATGATATAATATAGTATTGACTTTTGCAAATATTCATTCTATACAAAAGCATACAAAATAATAACAACAACAACAACATATATGTGTTTCATAACACATTTCGGCATACGAAGGTTACAATATATGATCATGACTTTTTCAACATGAATTGTCATCCTCATTTATAATTATTTTATCTTTCACTTCCGGTAAAAAGATACATTTGCTGATTGTCATTATCCAGACACCAAATTATATTAATATAATGGTGTGTCTTGATCCATTCACTTTTAAGAATGGTTTGTTTTCATTCGCTTCCAAGAATGAAACAACGGCCTTTGGATCAAATTATATAATATTTCCCGCGCTTTTCTTATTTCCTTTGTATGACTATCTCTATAACATCTGACTTTGCAAAAAAAAATTATATAATATTTTCCATCATCACAAGTCCAATACACTTTTCACCTTTAACAAACAAGAAATAACGTATGCGTTATAAACCCTCTTCCATAATATTGCTACTGCAGGAGCACATATTGATTTTCATTTTCCTTCCATTGATTCTTCGACAAAGAAAACTTCTTTTCATATATCAGGTTCAAGATCAATGATACATTTTTCTTCATTTTTCCACTTCGAGAAAAATGAGATCTTTAGACTTTCATTTCTCTATATAGCAATCGATAAGTAAACCCATAATGATGTTGCTACTACAGGAGCAATTTTCATTTTTTGATAATGTCCAAGCACAAAATCCATGTTACAAGATCGACATATGTAAAATAAGTTCATAAAATAATATGAACAAATAACATGATCAAATAATCTCTCAAAGACAATGGGATAGATAAACTTACTAACAAGAAACGACATGAAAAGTTGCATACCTTGATCGTGTTGTGATCTTACTCAAGTAAGTTTTGATTATGTAAAGAGACAATAACCAACCATGACTCTGACAGAGCTTCGTGCTGATAACGTGTTAAGAAACTAAAGGAAGAGATAAACAACTATGAGAGAGTATGAAGAGGAAAAGACACAAGGTAAAAGAGAGGGGAAGAGTTCTTCTTATTCATCATATTCATTTGTACAATGGGGAGCTCTATTTATTGGTACATATGCATAACCTTCACATTCTCCTCTATCAATGCACATAAATGTGATATAATAACCATGAAGAGGATTCATTTCCATGATCAATGTAGGGAGGTAATTACCTCCTAATTTAAAATCCCATATGAAATCCAAAGTAGCATCCAATGGACATCCACCATACTATATTGTTTCATAACAATGATTGATTTTTTACTTCTAAACAAAATGAAACAGTTTTAGTGAATTTAATTAATAAAATAAAATTTATGGTTGATTTGAAAAATTTAAAAGTTAAAAGTTGATGTTTATTGTTGAATTTGAGTATAAACATTTGGGTGTTAAGGTTAAATGTTGTATTTATATATTATTCAAATTCAAATCAGACTATAGATGTTGGGATGAATAGTTTTGAAAAGTTATAAATGAAATTCCTAATTAATTATCCAGTATTTTCTCATAATACGAAAAATAAGATGGATAATTAATAAAATGAATATTATGGAGATAGTTAAGATTAATTATCTTAATAGATTATATTTTAATTATGGGAGTAATTATCTCCCTAATTAAAATGTGACTTACTCCCAAAGAAAGAGGGAATATTCTGGGTTTTCTGCTCCTATAAATAGCAGACCCCCAGACCCTCTAAATATGCCACAGAAGAGAAAAAACACGAGAGAGAGTGAGTTCATAGAGCTCCGGTTTTCACACAAAACCGATGAGCAACAAAATCAGAGTGGATGTTTTATCCTGGAGACGACCGGCAAATAGTCTGTCGTGCGCAATGAAGGCAGTGCCGCGAACGTCTTAAAGAGAGCGACCTAGTTCGCGACTCAGCCAGATCGATAACCCTAATTCTTCTGTTCGGTTTTTAACAATAGATTGTAAGTAAATTGTCTTCAAATATTTTTAATATATGTTTAAATTCATTTGATGATAATGAATTTCACATTTCTACATATTTTGTTAAATCGGTATGAACCGGCACAAACTGATTGTACCATATAAACTGATCTGGCCACCTTGATCGAAACCTTGTGTAATACTAATAATTGGGTCAATGATGGGATATAAGAACTCGGAGTAAAAATCAAATATTTGTGTAACACATAATTGGGCCCGTTCGTAATTTAGAAGCCGGCTACAAGATGAGATATAGCTAATAAACCTAAACCCAAACCCAAACTCAAATGTACAAAATTCGATACCGCAGTAGGAGTGAGGGCAATACTAGGTTACACATATATAGGGCATCAGAGGGGGAAGGGCTTTTGGATCCGCCGCTCACCAAAACTCTGATCAACGCAAAGTTCTTCGGAAAGCCGATCTGAGTGTCGTGTCGGAGAAGCTCACGCTACAGGCCGAAGATTGGAGAGCCCGCGGCGGAGACATTTAATTCCATGCTGGCGATTCTTGTAGCCGGATCAATAAGTGGGCGCTGGAGGATGCGGCGGCGGCGGCGGCGGCAAGTCGAGGAGCAAACGGGAGCCAATATTCATCATTCCACCAGAGGGATTAGTGCGCGATGGCAATCCAAAGTTCAGGTACTATAAAAGCATAAAATACATAGTTAGGTAGAGTTAGGTAGTTGCATCTCGTTTTTGCGATTTGATAAGTAAGTAAATTATTAGCTTTTCTCCGGCCAATGGAGTTGTCGATGAATTGTTGTGAATCGTGAAAAAAAAAAACACAATAATCTGTAATTCGAAGTTATCAGATATTAAGACGATTGTAAAAATAACTTATAGTCGTATATTTATCGAATTTAAGATTTGACTAAAGCATCTTCTCAAAAAATATTGGTGAAGGCTTTAATTAAATGAGAAAAAACTGAAAAAACAAAGGTTCTAAACAAAGGTTCTGAACAGGAAGGATCACGAGACATGATCCCCACGAACAGTAAAACATAAAAAGAAACAATAAATCAAACATCTACTAAGTGGACTAGGCCACTCCTGCAGATACACTGGAGGAGAAACAACGGAGAACATAAATATCTCCCAAGAGAAAGCGTGGAGGAGACCAGACCTGAATGCCCCTTTCCAATTGAGCTTCTTGCTAATATCCCAGCTTCTGATAATGTCTTCAAAGCGCTGAGGGAAAGGTCCCTAGAGCTCGATCACCTGCATAAGGAGGGACCAAATTTTGCAGCTAAAGTGACAATGACAAAAACGATGATCTATGGTTTCCTCCGCCATATTGCATAAGGCACGACGAATCACAATGTTTCATCCTCTTCTTTTCAAGTTATCGTGAGTGAGGATGCGATTGTGAACCAGTAGCCACATGAATGCGCTCACCTTCGTCGGGACCTCTGGATGTCACACCACCTTATGAGGGAAATTGTCACCTTTAAATCTATGGTTAATGATGGTGCGATAGTTGGACCTCACCAAAAACCCCCCAACAGGTCAAGGATTCCACATAAGATTAGCTGGACCTCATTGATAAAATCAGGATGTAAAAGGGATAAAAAAAAAATTCAACAACTCATTCCTCTCGCGATCAGCCCTACCCCTTAAAGAGAGTGAAAGTGAAAGATCTCACCCCACACTCTCATTGATAATGGATATTTGATTAGATAACCAAGCATCACGGTTTGAAGAAGCAGTGGCCACCATGGGGAAGACATCTTTCAGGATCTTTCCCGGAATCCAGCAATCTCTCCAAAACGACACCCGCGCGCCACCACCAGGATCGTTATAAGCATGCTTCCAGAATAATCCTTCCTCCTTCATAATACATTTCCAAATTGAACAACCAATCGAACCATTATCAGAACCAACTCTCCACTCGGACACAGGCTGTGGGAACTTGCAATCAATGAGCTTTCGCCAACAAGAGGAAGGTTCCGACGCGTACTTCCAGAACCATTTAGCAATCTATGCAGAATTCATAAATCCCAGGTCAAGAACATCCAAACCACCCCTTTCCTTAACTGCTTTGCAAAGATCCCATTTCACAAGATGAATTATGTTTTTGTCTTGAGCTCCGGACAAAATAAATCTGCATTGCATTCTCTCCATCTTCTGAATAGTTGATTTCGGAGCCTTTAACAGAGAGAATAGGTATAGAGGATGACTTGCAAGGCTGGTTTTGCATAAGACGATCCTACCTCCTAATGATGGTAACTTTCATTTCCATCCCTCAAGTCTTGCTTGAAATTTTGTGAGAACTTTGTTCCATATTGCTTTGGAGTTAGGGCTAGCCCCTAAAGGGGCGACGAGATAAATAGTTGGCAGATAACTCCATCCGCAGCCGAAGATATTTGCAAAGAAACCTGGATTACAAACATTTCCAAACGGAAACAGCGTGCTCTTTTTACGTCGATTCTCAACCCAGTCACCGCTTGAAAGCAAACAAGCGTTGACAGAAGATTCAACACTTGTTCCTCCTTTCCATCTCAGAAGATTATTGTGTCATCCGCATACATGAGATGCGTCAACTCCCCTGCTCCGCTTCCTAAAAAAATATTGAATCCAAAAGCTATGTTATGCATAAAATAAATAATTATTACCAGTCCTGTAACTATATATGTTATCGGTTGGTATCTCGGACTAGATAGGCACCCTTTCTCAAACAACCCGTAAGGGTTGTTGGAACTAATGACTTAGTATGGTTGTTGAGATGTTGCTATATGTCAGTATAGTTGGAGGGGGATTTTGAGGATAATGTGAATATCTTATCTTTTCTCCTTTGATGATTAGGGGAGTTCTTTTACTTTGAACCCTTAAATCAGTACGACATACAAGAGCATAGACATGGCCAGAACTTTTAGAAACAAAAACAGTAAGAAACCCACACACAAGAGCATAGACATGGCTTGTAATTCAATCCCACACTATTTCAGTTGTAATGCTAATAATATGAGCTTAATCTCAAACTAAACAATTGTCAATGTACCACAATAATTGATACTATGGAACTAAACATTTGGAGCAAGGATTCTCGAACAATAAATAAACTAGTTCAACAGATAAAACAAGAAACAAAAAAAACTTAAAGGTATGCATCTCCACGCATGACAGACATATCTTTGAGGATCATGTGATTCCATTTAGACGAGTGCATATGCGCACTTTGAATCAGTTTCTCCTACATAGCATTCTGTGGCCCACCAACCAAGTCCAGAGCAAGCCTGATTCGTTCCACATCACCACATGGTTGTGTACACACGATGAAAATAAGTAAACATTAGAAAACAAACCTTGCATTTCCATTGTTAAACAAATATCATAACAGACCAAGATCCCTTACCACGACATCATAGCTTCCCAGATTATTTGAGAACCTCATCCATAAGCAAACCCACATGCCACCATCAAATCTGATACAAAAGAGCTACTCCATAAGTTTATGCTAATCAAATGTTTCGTAGTGCTATCAAACAAATATGTTCTCCCTTACTTATTTTCATATATAGGAACCCCATCAGGAATAACAAGCTGAAAATGACAAATGTTCGGCAAAGCCTTTGTTGTATCCGATTCAAAGTACAACTTCAGGAATAAATCATGTAAAACATTCATCTGCAAAAACATGTGAATATTACTCAACCGAAGAAGGAATGTAAAACAAATTAATTATAAAAGCTACTCTAGTTTACTAGCCATATGGCTTACGGTCTTCGTACGAATCTCATTGTTGATTGTCCTAAGTGCAGAGTTGACAAAATGAACTTCTAATTCCATCATTACCATGGCCAGGTACCAATACTTACCATCCTTCAATGGTAGATAGATTTTCCAAATGTCGACATTAAGATCACCGCCATTGAACAAATTATAAGGGAAAAACATGTACTCAGTACTGCTTGAATTGTTAAAGAACTACCTTGTTCGATCTGTAGGCATTGTGCAAGTAGTTGAATCAATAATCGTTGAATACACGGTCAGCAGTATAGACATACTTCTCTACTCCCACCTAGAAGTTTGCTTTGGGAAATTAATAAGCAAAACGCAATATGTAATAAAGAAGAAAAAAAAGAATTTATTAGTGTTCCATATTTGTATTTCCTGTATATCGGCAGGTAGGAAGCACAACGTGTCCTCAATTCTGCGTTGATTCTCATACATGACAAGGAGGTTGAGATGGCATGCATACTTTGAAATGACCTTCAAAACAGAAAACATAAAGGCTTAACAGTGAGCTACGAGTGCATTCAAATTAACATATAACAAGTAAAGGATCCAATTTACCTCATCATCTAGGTACTCGTTAGGCAACAAGCTCAACAGTCAACTTAAGTACAAGACTGAGAACCATTCTTGACTAGAATCTTCTTAGTAGCAAGATCTTCCACAAAGATGTAATATGTCATTCCAACCTCCTCTAAAGTCAAAAGCATGCTACTGGTGATAGGAAACTGCATCACGGCCTAACACAAAAAAGTCAAATACTAACAAATCAGATATGCTACCTAATACTAAGCACTTCTTAATTTTAATACAGTACCAGTAATACCTCATGATTGGTTGTCAAATCAGGCTCATCATCATCAATGATAATGATATCAGAAATCGGCGTCACATCGTCATCTTTGAACTCAAGCCTCCTCCTTATAAGGTTCTGTCAATTTTGAGAAAGTAATCAGACACTATTCCACCTAACTACATGACATAACAAGGAAGAAAATCCACCAACAGCTACAAAACACCAAAAGCTAAGAAACCACTAGAAAACAAAAGTTGTAACCACTATGCTTAAAGGCACGCAGAACAAAAAAGATAAAAAAAAAACACAAACAGCATACATATCAAACCTTGTGTTGTGAAGAATTTCCTATTATGATGTTATTGACTTTAGGGCGTTTTTCAGCAGCCATATCATCCGCCAGCCTCTTGCCTCTAATTTCAATTGTGAAACAAACAATTTTCACCAATAATAGGTAAAGTTAGACATTGGCAACAATGAATGAAAACAAAATCAGAAACAAGGTAAACTAGCAATGGTCGTTACCCGAATTTTCGATCCATTTTCTTTGGCAGAACTCTAACTAACAAAATAACACGGTGGAAAAACTACAAAACATAAATTCATATAGGGTTTGTTAAATCCAGTAGCTAAAATGACCGTACATATAACACCACCCTTCATCATAATAGGTAAAGTTAGACATAGGCAACAATGAATGAAAACAAAATCAGAAACAAGGTAAACTAGCAATGGCCGTTACCCGACTTTTCGATCCATTTTCTTCGGCAAAACTCTAACTAACAAAATAACACGGTGGAAAAACTACATAACATAAATTCATATAGGGTTTGTTAAATCCAGTAGCTAAAATGATCGTATATATAACACCACCCTTCATCATAATATAGCCGAATTGTCAATTAGAATGGGAGATGAAAGATAACTATCTAACATAATAATAAAAAACTATGGAAAAAGGAATTTTAACAGCAGAGGAACCTTATACTTCGCACACAGCTGGAAAGCAATGATGAGAATAACATAATAAATAAAAGAGAAGGAAAAAACACTTATATAGAAGACAAACTAAAAGGGATATTTGTGCGAACTTCCGCTTTCCCCGCTAAACACGGCAAAAAAGAGCCTAACTAATAAATATCTTTCTTTTTTATTTGTAACCAGGCTTAAAGTACCTTATACGCAAGCAAATACCCTAAGTTTTTTAGATTTACTTTGCATACTTCTTATACGACCGATGATGCTGAATCAGTGCACAACAATGTGCCTCCTTCGGGTGCCTGCACTTTCTAGCAGAACAAGAATTACAACATAAGGAGCCTAAGAATCCAACAAGAACAACCAACAATAACTCTTTTAACATTCAGTAGAAGTCTTGCGGAATTGTCATCCTATAGACTTAAATCCACTAAATCTAACCATTTACTCACCTCTTTTGATAGAAAAAATGCACAGAATCAGCAATTAAGTGGCCATGACCTACGCATACCTTCAATTTAGGACATCAATTCTAAGTTTTAGTCATTGACATCAATTGTAAGTTTAAACTGAAACAGATATCACATGCCTACTCACTTCATCATTTATTTAATACTTTCCGCACATAATTTTTGGCCTCTTCCAAATTTCCAACTGCATGACCTTCTTCAATTGATAACCTCTAACGTTGAACTGCAACAAGATACGAATTGCCATAACTTGCAGGGGGGATACAGGTTGTAGAGCATGATTACTTCTTTTTATCGACGGATTAAGCAATGTGCATCCTTAGGGTGCCTACACTCTCTAGCTGAACAAGATACGATGAGCAAATGAAAACTCATAAGTGTAGGTAAAAGATGGCTCTTTAATAAGGAAAACTTACCTGATCAAGTAGTTCCTTTTCTTTTGATTTTGAGGCCTTTCTCATTTGCGGTGCTTCCTCTACCACCTATAAAAAAACCATGCTGGCTTGATGTAAGTAAACTTATATATTATAAGGCAGTAGCAAATGAGATAGCTTTAAGAAAGAAATAGAAACGGTTAATCTCCATTGTTGAACTGAACATTCTCATTTTCAGAAACCCCTTCATAGGCCCTCAGCCTTCCAGGAACATAGAAGCTCAATCAAGTTGCTCACCAGCCCCTTCCACTTTCGCAGTATTGTTGGACATTAGATAACCAGTTCCATCGATTCTCAATATCATAGACCCGGACACGATTTCGGCTTCCGAGGGTAAAATGGCACTCAGGGAGCTTATGAAAATGACAAAAACATTAGTGATGAAGGCACACGCGACTACCAATTTGACTTGTACATCTGCAATTTCCGGTTACCCTTCCCCATGCTTTGCCTCGTCTACGCACCGCCATCTCCATCGATTTCGTCTAGCTCATGGCCCTTCACCCAGCTCTCCAGTCTATGATTTTCATTTCGACGAAATCATTTCTGATGAAGGCACACACGGCTACCAAATTGAATTCTCCATCTGCAATCTCCGAATACCCTTCCCCATGTGTGGCCGTCGTCTCCTCCATCTCCATCGATTTCGTCTTGGCCTTCAGCACTTTCCCCAGCTCTACAGTCTGCGGTCTTCACTTTTAAGACAGACGATGTCAGGGATAGCGACGACAATAATAAAAAATCCAGAGCTCGGCCATGGGAAGGGTTCTTAGGAGTTGGATTCATTCATAGTAAAACCGGAGGAGAGGAGAGGAGAAGGGAGGGTTCGTCACTCACGCGGAAAGTTATTAATTAATTATAAATAGCTTAAAGTAATGTATTTGGTAATTTGATTATTTTAAAAGAATAGGGAAATTTTTGTGTTTTCAACTTTTTCAGATGAGAAAGAAGTGAGAAATTTTGATTTTTTTTATTATTATGAAAGAGAAATAAAGAGGGAAATTTTGGGTTTTCAACTTTTTGAGAAAGGAAGGAAAAGGGAACTTTGGTTCTTTCAATTTTATAGAAAAGAAATAGGAGGGAAAATTGATTGTTTCTAATTTATGCAATGGGAAAGAATGAGGTAAATATTTGTATTTTCATTTTTTGTGAAAAGAAAGAAGGAAACAAACTTGATGTTTTCAACTTTTTGGTTTTAAAAATTTAGCCTTTTTTTATGAACCGGATTATGTTATATCATCAAAAAGGAATTGTTGACAATAACCCTAGCCAAGTAAGAGCTATATGAGAAAGAGAATCACTATAAACCCTCGGGCAAAAGCAAACAAGTATAAGAAACTACCAAACCTTCTCCCTCACTTTATCAACAAGTAAAACATTCACTTCATTCTTGATAACCTTGCATAGTACCTCGACGTCAATTCTATCACCAACGTAGATCCTGCAGCAACACTCACGCCCAAGATGGCTCAACAACAAACTCCAAATGAGCTTGCTCGCATCATTCAAAGGGCAAGAAACTGCAAAGCTTGGATTGCCCTTTCCCTCTCCTGTCGTCAAGTACAACAGGGAGAGCGAGGGAAGACTTGCTGAGAAGCACCTAGAAAAGATTGCAGTACACTGCATACTGTGCAAAAATATGGTCAATAGATTCAACAGATTGGTCACAAAATACACAATTCAGATCTCCAGAATAATCCCATTTCACCATCTTAGCTCTAGTGTTAATTATTTCCTTAGCAATCAGCCACACCAAAATCCTATTGGGAGGAATCCCAATTCATTTCCATACATCTGTCACCCAGGGGGAAGGAAACTTAGGTATGATAGAGTCCCAAACCTTCTTCATCGAGTATTTAAACATTTCCTCTCCTTTCCAAAAGGCCTTCTTCCGGGTCTTATATTGCCAAAAGAGCCAATTCTTAAGCTTGTACTTAAACAACCAAGCAATCCACAATGATCCAAGCTCCAAAAGAATAGACCAAATATGTCGAGAAACACAAGCTATGTTCCAGGACCTTAGATCTCTTACACCAAGCCCTCCCTCACATTTTGGATAGGCCAATTGATCTCAAGCTACACTGGCTTTGACTTTACCACCTGCTCCCCCATAGGAGTCACTATGCACATCAGAATCACTCAACGAAAATACCAGGAAACCCCATAGCAGAATTAACAGGCAAGATAAATCCCCAATCAACTGAATACAAAAAGAGCCTTCATAAGGTCAATTTTTCAGTGTGCTACGAGAGGAAATATGTTTAAGAGAAAACTTTGAGATTAATTCATTTGCCATCAATATTATACCCAATAACTCTCTCTTTCACAAACGCAGACTGATTATGGTAATAAGAGTAGAAAGAGTAGAGCTTAACCTGTTGGCAATAATCTTGGAAACATAATTGTAGATAATGTTGCAACAAGATAGGGGGCAGAAATCTTTCATGAACACTGGATTAAGCACATTAGTGACGAGTGTTAAAGCAGTAGCATTTATCTCTCTAGGTACTCGACACTCCTCAAAACAGAATTGCACTGCAGAGATGAGATCTGCTCCAATGGTGGAGCAAGCATGTTGATAGAAACAAGGAGAAAACCCATCTGGACCCGGAGCTTTCTCACCCTTCATTCCTAAAACCACCTTTCGAACCTCTTCCTCTATTATAGGAGCACATAAATCATCCACCAGATCAGAAGGAAGCCTCCTCTTCAGCAGCCTTTAATAAAAAGCAACTGGCTCTCCCCTTACTGCCTGATCACCCTCATCCAACAGCTTCTTATAAAAAGATACCCCCACCTCACACATACTCTTTAGGTCAGAAATCGTGTTTCCATCATTGTCCACAAGAGAGCTAACTGTGTTTCTTTTTATACCACTTCTAACAGAGCGATAAAAGTATCCAGAATTTGAATCTCCTCCATGCAGCCAAATCTCCCTCTATTTTTGTCTGAGAAAAGACTCCTCAGCTATACGCAATTCATTGACCTTTTTCAACATAGCTTGCTCAGCAAGGAAAACATCCGAGGAAGGATTTTCCAGAGCATCCCTCTGCACCAACCACAACATGCCTTCAGCTTATCATACCCTCTCCCTTGAATATGAAAACTCTTCCTTATTTAACTTTGTAAGAAACCCCTTCAATACCCTCTGCTTTTTATAAAACGGAACAATAGGAGAACCAACAACTCTCTTAGCCCAAGCCTCCTTTAGTAGCTCTTCATACTTCGGATGGGATATCCAAAATTTGAAGAACTTGAACGGTTTGGGAAGAGTCTTCAGTGGCTCTTGTGTTTGCAACAAGACAGGACAATGGTCAGAAACATCCGGGTCCAACAGCTTCATCCTACTATGGGCCTATCCAACTAAGGGAGATTCACAAAACTTCTATCCATCCTCCTAGCTATGGGATTCCTCAATTGCTTTTTAATCCAAGAAAACCAGGGCCAACAAATTTGTGCTCCTCTAACTCCAAATAAAAAATCCAACTATTAAAATCAGCCATGCAACTAGGGGCATTCGACGCTTCAGAAGGGTTTCTTATAGCATTGAAGTCCCCTAGAATAAGCCAGATCAGTGAGATAAACTTGCATCTCCAGAGATTAGCATACAACTTCATTCTATAAGACTCAGTATTGGAAGCATACACAAATGTGGCTCCAAAAGGAATAGCATCATTTACCCTTGTATGAATTGAACAGACCATAAATGAACTGTGAGTTCCACTTCATTCCTCCATAACAGCAAGATTTTTCCCAGACCCAGTTAGGGAACCGCTTCAGCAGCATCTTCTTAGCCTTTGCTAGCTCTTACCCAGGGTTCTAAAATAGCTACTATATGTATATTATTATGTTTAATAACTCTACGTAATTCTGTAAACTTACTATTATCACAAAACCCTCGTATATTACAAGTTAGAACATTCATCGCTTCAGCCTACCACGCCCTCCACTACCTCCTTTCCACCACCATTACCTCCTTTATTCTTCACCGGAGAGGAATCCTTGTCAGCATCCAAATCTATCTCACCCTACCCTTCAATAGAAACATGATGAGAAGAGATCCCAGTCTTTTGGACCACTAACTCCCCACCATCATGCTGCGAAAATAGTCTGGGACTCCCTGAACGAATAGGTGACATGCGCACCACATTCGCAAAACTCATTGTTGGACCATGATAGAATGTAGGGGATCAACAAAATCTTGTTCTGGAACAATATCACTAAGCACTTGGAAAGCATTTTCAATGCCCCCAACCTCAGAAGAAGAGCCAGCAACATCATATTCAACAACAATAGCCTTCCCTTATCCATACTAGATACAAACACCTCCCTCTCAGTTTCACTAGCAGAGACCTCTACTGCTTCTTGTTGGATTTTGAATTCCTAACCCAAACCTTCCCATCATACCGATTTCTATCAAAATTATGGCCAAACATCTCACACTTTGAACAAACATGAGGTAGATGGCTATACTCCACATTCAACTTAAAATCAGATTCATCATAGGGATATAAACGAACTGAACTAGGAAACCTTGAACCCACTTCCATCTCCAAAAAGCCCGAGCGATTCCAAGTTGAGCCCCAACTCTGGTCACCCTATCGATATGAAGCGACACACCCACTGTACTAACAGCCCACTCCAATCCCTCCATAGAGTTATACTCCAATGGAATCCTAGAAAAGCAAACCCTGATGGGGAGAGTCTCCACCTTCGATTCGACCGAGTGAATCCCATGACATAATTTTCGAAAGAAGATATGATTCCCCTAGAAGTGCCAGGGACTCGACTTGAAAACCCAATCACTTGTGCTCAACGATGGGAACTGAAAAACCAAAAGCCGCGACTCAAATCGAGAGACTCGAATCACACCATCCCTTCCCCAAAGACAAGTAGCCCAGTTCTGCAACTTAGGGAGGCGAGGAATGTCAACCACAAACTGCTCGATTAGACTATTCTTCCAATGAGATGCCCCTTTCTCCTCTACCTCCTTAGGGATTCTGAAACCATCATTGATCCGCTCTAGAGGACGATAACGAAGCTTATTCTCTGACGCAACAGCAAACAACTGAGCCCAGGTGCTCCCCTCACCGACCGGGAGAGCCCCCGACGGCGAGGCCACCATTTCAAGATCGTCAAAACTCAGAGAGAAAAGAAGAGAGAGAAAGGGAAGAGAGAAGATTTCAACCCTACGTTGCCAAAAAAATTAAACCTTTCAAATATGAATCTTTAGTTTTTATATGGAGAGCATGACTAATTAACTATATTATAGTCTCTTACTGAATTATTATTTGGCTATATTAGATTTGTAAACCTATAATGAGTTATCTCATCTTCAATATAATATCACTCGAATGATCTCAATGCATGTTATTTTACATTATAAACTACTTATTTAATTATTTATCAATTTAATTGTCACAATGTTTACGTATGAATTATGATGATTTAGGAGTTCAACATTTAATCACCAAGACATTATTTATAATAAACCTTATTATAGTCTTTTTAGGACATATGACTAATTGGATATAGTAGATATGAGAACATATCATGAGTCAAGACTTTAGCATTTAGTAGCTAAGATATTTTCTAGGAAAACCGACCATGAGTCATCTTATCATAATAACGAATCGCTTCTGTTATAGTACATATAACCTAAAACTCATTATATGAACTAATTTAGGAAATTCTGATAAGCAACACACTTATCTTACTATATGAACTAATTATTTTGACTATATTTAGGGTATAGAGTTATATAATTCGAAGGTATATATATGGGGTGTTCTACGGTACCCATGATGAAATCTAGGGTACCGCATACCTTGAGTAAGAAAACGCTATCCAGAATTGAATTAACTGATCTTTCGGACATGATACTATACTCTAACTCTTAAAGATCAAAATCTAGGTCTTAATTCTCTAAATCTTATACCCCAATATCAATTTAATTAGAAACAATAATCGACGGTTATGATACGTCCAAATATAGGCAAAAAAATCAAAGCACCATCTTAGGGTTTATAGTTTATGATTTAGATAATTAGGACCTAGAGTTCACTCATTAAGGGTTAGGGTATAGTATCATGCCCAAAAATCCTGCTTATTCGAGGTCTAGATAGCGTTTCATACTCAAGGCATGCGGTACCCCAGATTTCCTCCGGGATACCATAGAAGGCACCATATATGTATATATGTAATTGTAATTGTTTATGGTTTAGTAACTAAATTAAGGGTTAATACCTTATTTTGGCCCGAACTATGACCATATAATTAACTTTGGCTCGTGGTTTCCAAAATTAACATCCTGGCCTCAACTCTGCTGCATATAGACTCAGTAGGCCCGACACATGATTTGACAGTCAATTTGGACAGTCAACACGCCATGTTATTGCCTCGTCACCCTAAAATTAATTAAAAAATCAAATATAAATTATTTTTCTAATTTCTATTATTTATCATTTTCAAATTAACCAAAAATAAAATTTTAAATTTTAAAATAATTTACTAATTTTTGGTTAATCTATAAATTTATCATTTTTATAAAATAAAAAAATGATATTTATTTTATACTATTATAATCTTATTTATTGGTTAATTTGATTATCATAAATAATTGAAATTAGGAAAATAAGTTTAATTTTTAATGATTTTTGCGCTGACGAGGCAATGACATAGCGTGTTGACTAACGATCAAACCATGTGTCTGGCCAATTGAGTCTATATGTTGCATAGTTGACGCCAGGATGTTTATTTTTTAAACCAAGTGCCAAAGTTGATTATATGGTCATAGTTCGGGCCAAAATAAGGTATTAACCCCTAAATTAACCATTAGTTACAATAATCATTTGTTTAAGAAAATTTGACTTAATATGTCTACTTATTTTCTATGCTTCTACATTTACTATAACTTCAGCTCTACATTATCGTTATTTTACAGTACTAAGTAAAACTTTGGCACATTTGAGTTGTGTTCGAGTTGAATTTTTATTTCAAAATGAGGGTTAAACTTGCCATGTTAAGTCATACGTGCAATAACTCAAACATCTAAAATAAAATAAAAATTAATATTGTACTTTGACAAGTTTTTTTTTAACTTTTATAAGTACTTTTACCAAAAAAAACCGTTTATAAATACATATATGAATATGAGGTAGAAACAAATTGTCTAAAAATTGCGGAAAATGTTTGAAATTAGTGTAATAAATTAAGTTTAAGTTGCACCGAGTAAAGAGTAAGAAACACAATGCGCTGATTCGAACAACCCGCAACCCGACCCGACCACAACCCTCTTGAACCGTAACTCAATCAACCTATAACCCAATTGACCCGTAACCCGATGAACCCATACTCGAATGACCTGTAATCCGATTAACCCGTTACCCAATTAACCCACAAGTCGATTGAACCCGATCCGAAACCTGATGAGCCCGAAACCCGACTAACCTATAACCAGATTGAACCCAACCCGAACCCACTTGATTGAAACCTATAGCTATACTGCCCATACACAAACATACCACGTAATAATGATTACATATCAAACAGGTTGATATCTCAACCAAACAAACAGTCAAACAGATAAAAAAAAAATTAGATCAAAAGAAAGTGTAGCATTAGCAAGCCTGCTATATTGACCATTAGGAATACACATACTTTGAATACGACACATGAATCTACTTTGCTTCGTTGATATATAGGAATGTAAAGTTACAGTCCCAATCTAATAGAAAGAAGAACGGAAAAATGTTAATTTATGACGTGTTTCGGTATAGCCTTAAAGTAAAAAATTGAATGCAAGAGCTGTGATTGAAATGATAAAACCAATTTTCATCTGAACTGCACATCAAAGAGAATCAAACATATACCTTCATGCAACAACGATGAAACTGGAATCCATGATGCTTGACTACTAGACTCACCTTGCTCAAACTCTTTGGTAAACTGACTTTCATTGGACAGGGTCGTCATGGTTCGTTGCTCAGACTCTGGGGTACAAAATCATCATATAAGTAAATCACCATATGGAGCGGATCCGATCGGACCACCGTCCGCTGTTTATCCAGGCTGAACCGGACACGCAATCACCCAGGGTGGAAAGGCCTTTTCGGTTCCTGGTGGCTTGGATCCCTCATGAAGAATTCAGCCGGGTGATGGAGACAGCGTGGCCCTGTAGCACTCATTTGCCGCATTCCCTTGAGAAGCTTTCAGCGGCGCTTAAAGACTGGAACCACAGGCTCTTCGGTAACATCTTTCATCGGAAACAAGCTCTGGTGAGGAAGCTGCGCAGACTTGAAGAGTAGAATGAGAGTTCTGACTTAGTAGCTTCACAGTTGCACGAAGAATCTACGAGAAAGGGGTTGGAGGAGACCTTGTGGCAGGAAAAGCTGTTGTGGCTGCAAAAAACGAGAGCTAACTGGATTACAAATGGTGACCGAAACACGAGATACTTCCATCTTTTGACCCTCAAGCGCAGGAGATTAAATAAGATATCGGCGTTAAGGGACAAGAAGGAGTGTGGATCTATGATGATAGTCAGCTCAACATCATGGCCCGTGATTTCTTCGTTTTCCTGTACCAGGCTGGGGATGAGGGTGATCATGGGATTCCGGCATACTTCCAACAGGTGATGGAAAGTACTAGACGTTGTCTTCTGCTCCCTCTCTCTCGTGATGAAGTTTGGAGTGCGATTAAGGGGATGGGTGTACTTAAAGATCTGGGAAGATGGTTATCAACCGCTGTTTTTCCAGAAATGTTGGGCGGCGGTTGGGAATGACCTGGCTAACTTTGTGGTGGGTTGCTTCTCAAACCCCGCGAGTATTGTCACGGACCAACTCTTGGCCGTGCGGCACTTAGCACTCAAGTCTCGTTAGAGCGCTAAGTCAGCCTTGCTCGTATTCACTCAAACTCACAAGTTGGGAAATTCTCTAGAGATGGAAAGCTCTCTTATTTCTGGATGAATGAAAAGTGGTGGAGAGGGCTGCTTATATAGGCATCCTCTCCACTAAGTACAATGTACATAGCCGTCATAAATGAACGAACCTAGATAGTCCCCCCATACATGAACCAGCCCCATACATGAATGTAATAAATGAGGTGAATGCATAAGCACTCATACATGAATCATAATAACTAGGTGCATGAATAAAAGATAGGAGAGGGGGGGATGTATGTACATTGGTGCATGAATTGCAAGATGCATGCATGTACCTACATCCTTCTAGAAAGCTCTAGAATCTTCTCCGTAACATTCTCCCCCACTCAATCTCGCGACGCCCTCGTCGCGGACTTCGCATGAAATGCCTCGATCAAGTCTTTGTGACGCCATAGCGAAAGCTCCTTCTCCCATGGGATGTCGCTTTCTGGCCGCCCCTTCCACTTGACAAGATATTCCGCGTAGCTTGGGTGAACACCACGCCTAGGCACAACACGATGAGCCAAGATCTCCTCCACTTCGTGCTCATGTGTTGTGGTGACGAGAGTTGGTGCCCTCGTCGACTCCTTCCGCACCCCGTCTTCCTTGTCTTCATGATATGCCTTCAATTGACTCACATGGAAGACGGGGTGAATCTCCAAGTGCGATGGCAACTTGACTTTGTACGCCACCGTGCCAATCCGCTTCAAGATCGGATATGGCCCTTCATATCGTCGCAGCAGCCCCTTGTGCACATTTTTGAGGTGCTTGAATCGATGAGGGCAGAACTTCACCATTACCAAGTCTCCCTCCTCGAATTCCAAGTGACGCTGCTTCTTATCCGCCCACTTCTTCATCTTCTTCTTTGCTCGAGCGAGATAAGACTTCGCCAACTCCATCTTCTCCTGCCACCCTCGTGCAAACTTGTAGGCAGAAGGGCTGTTGCCCTTGTACCCCGTCGTCACCGTATTAGGTGTCAACGGCTGTTGCCCGGTAGTCAACTCGAACGGACTCATGCTCGTGGCTTCACTTCGATGTAAGTTGTAGGAGAATTGGGCTACATCCAATAGCTTCACCCAATCCTTCTGGTTGGCACTCACATAATGCCTCAAGTAGACCTCCACCAAAGCGTTGACCCGCTCGGTTTGCCCATCCGTTTGAGGATGAAAGCTCGTGGAGAAGTTCAGATCGGAGCCCATCATCTTGAACAACTCCCTCCAAAACTTGCCGGTGAAGCGGCCATCTCTATCGCTGACGATGCTAACCGGGATGCCCCAATACTTCACAACATGCTTGAAAAACAAGCGGGCTGCATCCTCGGCCGTCATGTCTTTGGGCCTCGCGATGAAGACGCCATACTTCGAAAATCGGTCGACGACGACCATGATGGAACCACACCCTTCGACTTTGGGAAGGCCGATTATGAAATCCATGCTCACGCTTTCCCAAGGCCGTTGTGGAGTAAGTAGTGGCTCCAACAATCCCGCCGGACTTTGCTGCTCCATCTTGTCTTGCTGGCAAACAAGACAAGTCTTGACGTAGAGTTCCACGTCGTCCTTCATACGAGGCCAATAGTAAGCCTCCTCGATGAGAGCTTGTGTGCGCTTAATGCCGGGATGACCAACCCACTTGGAGTCGTGGCACTCCTTCATGATCTCCCTTCGTAGGTTGTCCCACCGCGGCACGAACACTCGCTCCCCCTTAGTCACGATTAGCCCACCTTTCATCCAAAACCGTCGAGTCTTCCCTTGGTTGATGTACTCGACCACGATTTTGGCGAAGGGGTCGTGGCTAAGGCCTTCTTCAATCCTCTCCTTCAAGGGGAATTGCGGCTGGCTGATGGCGGCAAGTGCGGCCTTTCGGCTAAGAGCATCGGCCACAAAGTTTGCTTTCCCCGGCTTGTACTCTAGCACAAAGTCGAACTCCGTGAGGAAGTCTTGCCACCTTGCTTGCTTGGGCGTGAGCTTCTTCTGTGTGAGGAAGTAACTCGTCGCCACATTGTCCGTCTTTACAACGAACTTCGACCCAAGCAAGTAATGCCTCCACGTTCTCAAACAATGGACCACCGCCGTCATCTCCTTCTCTTGCACCGCATATCTTCTCTTGGCCTCATTGAGCTTGCGGCTCTCAAAAGCAATTGGGTGCCCCTCTTGCATCAATACTCCACCGATCGCAAAATCGGAAGCATCCGTTTGCACTTCATACGCCTTGGTTGGATCGGGAAGCGCTAACACCGGCTCCTTCGTCACCGCATCCTTCAAGGCTTCAAATGCTTCGCGGCACCGATCCGACCATTCCCAAGCCTTGTTCTTCTTTAGAAGATCCGTTAAGGGTGCTGCAAGAGCGGAGTATCCCTTGATGAATCTCCTATAATAGTTGGCCAGGCCGAGGAATGATCGCAACTCGGTGACCCTCGTTGGTGGCTCCCATCCTTGTATCGCCTCCACCTTGGCTTCGTCCATCTTTAGCTTGCCTCCGCCAATGATGTGGCCGAGGAAAGGAACCTCCGCGGCTGCAAAAGTGCACTTCTCCTTCTTGACGTAGAGCTCGTTGTCTCGAAGGACTTGGAACACTTGTCGCAAGTGCTCGGCATGTTCATCGAGTGTGTTGCTGTACACCACGATGTCGTCCAAGTACACCACAACGAAGCGATCCAAGAACGGCTCGAAAACTTGGTTCATCAAGGTGCAAAAAGTAGCAGGAGCGTTGGTTAGTCCAAAAGGCATAACAAGGAACTCGTATGAGCCATACCTCGTGACGCAAGCGGTCTTTGCCTCGTCCCCCTCGGCGATCCTCACTTGGTAGTACCCCGAGCGAAGATCAAGCTTCGTGAACCACTTTGCTTCTCCGAGTTGATCAAACAAGTCGCCAATATTAGGGATCGGCCACTTGTTCTTCACCGTGAGCTTGTTAATAGCTCGATAATCGATGCACATTCGCAACGAACCATCCTTCTTCTTCTGGAACAAAACGGGTGCTCCATAGGGGGATTTTGATGATTGGATGAAACCAGCGTCCATCAACTCCTTGAGTTGCTTCCTCAATTCCTCCAACTCAGGAGGGGCCATACGATAAGGTGCTCTCGCTGGTGGCGTCGCCCCTTGCTCAAGCTCGATCTTGTGATCGACTTCTCTTCTTGGTGGGAGCTTCTTTGGTAGTTCCTTTGGCATCACATTCACGAACTCCTCCAACACGCCTTCGATGAGTGGTGTTGGCGCCAGCGAGCCTCCTTCTTCCTTCGCTCGCAAAGTGACAAGGAACGTGGGTTCCATCCTCTTCATTCCCTTGACCAATTGCATGGCCGATAAAGCTCTCTTCGGCCCTTCTTCGCGCAACATCTTCACCGCGCAAAATTTGTTTCCCTTGTCAAGGCAAAGAGTGTTGGACTTCATTGCCATCACTGCACCTTCTTTCTCCATGAAGTTGACGCCAAGAATGACCGGATGGTCGTCCATAGTGATGACGCTAAAGTCGGCAGCACATTCCCAACCTTCAATCTTCAAAGGCACGTTTTTGGCAACCCCATGGATGGGTATTGCCTCGGAATTGACGGTCTTGAGCGATCCTTGCCTTCTCTCATAAGCGATCCCCAAGCGCTCCGCCTCCTCCACTCGAAGGAAGTTGTCGGTCGCACCGGTGTCAACCAATGCTTTTGACTCGCCTCCCTCGAATTGGGTGATCACAAAGAATCTCCCCTTGCTAACTTCGTTGGCGCCGGACTTCGCCGCGCCTAGCCTCCGCATGGAGCCTATCTTCCCTTCGTCTTCCCTAGCATTCTCCTTGGTCTCCCCTTCTTGTTTCTCCAAGGCTGCTAGCTTGCTCTTCTTTGGGAAATCTCGCACCTTATGTGGACCGTTGCAAAGAAAACAAGACATGGGTTTGTCAAAGTTACCAGATCTTGCCCCCTTGCTCGAGCCTCCATGTTGGTACGAGCCTTTTCCTTCTTTGGAGTGTTGCCGATGATCTCCTCCTCCTTTGCTCTTCGAGTTCTTCGACTCGTTCGGCCTCTCATTCTTCTTGTACTCCGTGAGAGCCTCTGCCGTTGCTAAGGCAGTAGCAAGATCTTGCACTCCACGCCTCTCGAGCTCTAGCTTCGCCCAAGGCTGCAATCCAAAAAGGAAGCCAAACAAAGCCTCCTTGTCCGGCAGATCGGGGATCTCGAGTAGCAATTCCGAGAACTCCTTGACATACTCACGAATTCCGCCGGTGTGGGTGAGTCGTCGAAGCTTTGCACGAGCCTCCATTTCCACATTTTCCTGGTAGAACTGCTTCTTGATTTCTCGACGGAAATCCTCCCATGTGTCGATCACACATGTGCCTCTCTCTACATCGCCTTGCCTCCTTCTCCACCACACCATGGCCGTGTCGACCAAGTAAAGGGAGGCGGTGCGCACCATGACTTCATTGTCATTGATGCCCGAGGCCTTGAAATATTGCTGAAGGCTCCATAGGAAATTCTCTAATTCCCTCGCGTTCCTCGACCCACCGAAGTTCTTTGGCCTTGGAACATCAACTCGTGGAGTAGATTGAGTCGCGGCAGGTCCGTTAGCCACGGCTCTTTTGACGAGATTGAGCTCTCCTCGAAGCTCGTCAAATTCTTCCTTCACTTCGTCTACCTGGCCTCGAACGGTCTCCCTCAAGGAGTCGATGGCGTTGGTGATGATGGTCACAAACTCGTTTCTGAAAGCTTCTAACCCCACCTCCAAGCCTGACATTCGAGTGCTCATGCCTCGCATGTCGTCCTTCGAAGTCTGCACCTCTCCGCTGACTTGATCGAATTTCGACTCCATGTCTTCGAACAAGGTTGTATGCTTGGCAATCTTCGCCTCCGCTCTTTTGAGCCTCCCCTCGATTGCCACCAAAGGCTCTCGAGTTGATCCATCACGATTCTTCTTGTTGTTTTGATCCTTCTTCTCCTCACGACCGCGTTGTTCATCATTGTTGTGAACTTTGCTTCCGGATCCAGCCATCTCCTCGAGGTTCTTTCTCACTTGCTGAGCTACGACCTTGGCTCTGATACCACTTGTCACGGACCAACTCTTGGCCGTGCGGCACTTAGCACTCAAGTCTCGTTAGAGCGCTAAGTCAGCCTTGCTCGTATTCACTCAAACTCACAAGTTGGGAAATTCTCTAGAGATGGAAAGCTCTCTTATTTCTGGATGAATGAAAAGTGGTGGAGAGGGCTGCTTATATAGGCATCCTCTCCACTAAGTACAATGTACATGGCCGTCATAAATGAACGAACCTAGATAGTCCCCCCATACATGAACCAGCCCCATACATGAATGTAATAATGAGGTGAATGCATAAGCACTCATACATGAATCATAATAACTAGGTGCATGAATAAAAGATAGGAGAGGGGGGATGTATGTACATTGGTGCATGAATTGCAAGATGCATGCATGTACCTACATCCTTCTAGAAAGCTCTAGAATCTTCTCCGTAACAGTATCCGCCAAGTGAATGAGACTTTACTTGGGTTGATTCCGAAGAAGGAGAGCCCTGAATCCATAAAGCATTTTTGATCGATTGGGCTATGTAATGTGGTGTATAAAACCCTGGCCAAATGCATTGTCAACAAGATCAAGCCTCTCATGCATGATCGGGTTCATCCAACTCAGACGAGCTTTGTCCCTGAGCGGCACATTACGGATATTATTATCATCGTCTAGGAGGTAGTTCATTTTATGTGCCTTAAGAAGGGTAAAAAAGGGAAGATGATCCTGAAGATTGATCTAGCTAAAGCCTATGACAGGGTCAGTTGGACCTTTCTTCAGGAAATCTTACGGGCTGCTGGTTTTCCCACATCGTTTGTTGAGACCATTATGGGGTGTGTTTCCTCGAGTGGGATGCAGGTGTTGTGGAATTGTGCCCTCACCAAGCCATTCACCCCAACCCGCGGCCTCCGTCGGGGTTGTCCTCTATCGCCTTACCTGTTTACCCTTTGCATGGAGCGGCTTAGCCATATTATTCAGGAGGCAGTCTCCGGGGGCAAGTGGAAGGCCATTAGAACTTCTCCAGGTGGCCCTCTGCTCTCTCACTTGTTTTTTTGCTGATGATTTAATATTGTTTGCAGAAGCCACTGTAAAAGTAGGGGATATCATTATGGATTTTCTGGATCGGTTCTGCAAAGCCTCTAGACAGCTTGTCAGCAAGGAGAAGTCGGTGATTTTTTTCTCAAGAAATACTTATCGGACCACTAGTGGGGCGATCGCTAGCAGGATGGGCGTGGTGGCCACCCAGGATTTGGGGCGCTATCTCGGAGTACTTGTACTCATGGTAGAGTGACAAAGGTGACATATATATATATATATATTGGATAGGTTGGACAAGAAGCTTCCAGGCTGGAAGGCCAACTCTCTATCCTTGGCGGGTTGGGTCACCTTAGATATGTCTGTGCTTAACGCCCTTCCTAATCATGGCTGAAGAAATGATTATGTCGGTCAGGGGTGGACAAAGTACGAGCTTCTGGATGGACCGATGGGTGGTTAACATAGAGGTGTTGTTGGATTACGTGGAGTCGCCCTCCGAGATTGACTGTGCCCATGCCGTGGCTGCTTTTGTGAACCCTCAAGGTGAGTGGGACATACCTCTGCTTCGTCTTGTTTTACCTGACGTAGTTGTGTCGCAGGTAATTAGCGTTCAACCACCAGTGGCAGTCTCGGGCGAGGATGTGGCGATCTGGGTGCCTGAGGATGATGGGGGCTTCACAGTACGCTCGGCATATGCCATCGCCACAAGCACGAAGGACATAGTTTGGCAGTTGGATTGACACACTATCTGGAATTGGGAGGGGCCGGCTCGAATTCGACACTTCCACTAGCTGGCAGCAAAGGAGCGACTACTAACCAATGGCGAGCAGGGATGATTCCATCTCATGACTTTCACGGCCTGTCACCATTTCAGAGAAGACCACGAGACAGTCCTGCATGTGTTGTGGGACTGTAATTTTTCCCGATTAATATGGATGCAGACTATCCCCCTTTCTGACCACCAACAGTTTTTCGGAACTAATCTGCAGGATTGGCTACTTGGCAACCTTCGTAACCAGCACATCAGCCTTGATTTCGGCAATACCTGCTGGTCCCTCTGGCGGACCAGAAATGATCGCGTCTTTGTAGGCAAGATCATCCCACCTGAGAGGTTCATGCAGCGAGTCCAAGCTTGGATACCTGTAGTGAGGAACGCTTTGGACAAGGACAGGCTCATTCATAGGCCTAGTCCCCCCACCAGAACGGAGGAGTAGATCAACTGGAAGTCGCCTCCTCCTGAGTGGGTTTTTCTCAACTCCGACGGCTACGTTTTACCTGGATCGGGCCATGCAGCTGCTGGCGACCAGATCCGTGATCACTTAGGACACTGTAAGACAGCATTTGCTTTGAGCCTGGGTTCGTGCACTATAACCCAGGCTGAGTTGAGGGGTGCTCTTGAGGGTCTTTAGGTGGCTTGGGATGAAGGATACAGGAGGGTGCACGTCCAGCTTGACTCCCAGTGTGCGGTACAACTCTTGACACGAGAAGATTACCGTGACCACCTTAGTGCAGTTGTCATCTCGAGATTCAAAGAGCTCATTTCTCGGCCTTGCCGTGTTTCTACAGACCGTGTGTATAGAGAGGGCAATAGATGTGTCGATTTCCTTTCTAGTAGGGGGCATGATCTCCCGGTTGGTTTTCATGTAGTTCGGAGTAACGATCATATGTTGAACTATTGGATCTTGTATAATTGTCAGGGGCTTTCCGAACCCCGGTTGGTGCTGAATGAAAGATAGGGTGCCCCTGCATCCATTATCAAAAAAGAAAAATAATGCAAATACACAGTGATTATACGTGATATACATCGGAACCTATAAAGCTAAGGTTAGCAAAACTGATATGACCCAGGACATAAAAATTTGAACAACTTCAATAGTAACTAGGTCGAGTAAGTTGGGCTTTGCCTCGGCTGGGTTGTTCCTTGTTGAGAGCCCATAAATTAAAACCTATGTTTAATTGAATATCGCCAAAAGAAACCTCTCCAGTCTCCAATATGTAATGACTAATTATTAGCCAAACCTATATCGTATTCTTTTTTATTAGCCAAACCTTTGAAAACTAATAATTAGTCAAATCTTTTGTAAAATATTAAAGTATTAGGAATGTTGACCTCCTCCATGTGTCTCTTCCAAGTGAGTATCATGTTGTCAAGTCAATAATACTAACGAAATTGCTAGCTGAAAATTGCCATTTGGCTAATTATTAGTAATTCAATAGTTTTGACTAATAAAAATAAATGCGATACAGATTTGGTTAATAATTAGTCATTATCCTAAAAATTATAGCATTTCTTTCTCATCTTCCCACTTCCACCGCCACCAAACACTTTCCAAATCCTTCATTCTCTTTATGGTTCTCCTTTTGCGCATCCTGTTCAAATAATTGATTCACCAATAATCCGTATTTATGTTCCCCTCCATTGTTGCATAGCTCCAATCCAGTCCTTTTGTGGATCTCTCTTTACTTTCAGTTTCACGCAACTCCGCTCAGTGATTGTCTTTCCCTCAAATCTCAATTCGGTTTCAAAGAAACAAACACACAATCCCCTACATATAGAAACCAGCGGGAACCAATATTAGGCCTAAACTTGTTGAGTTGTTTCCATTGCCGGTTCGAGTCCTGCATGTAATGGTATCTGTAGCCGATTTTATAATATGCTAGAATTTCTTCTGAAAAGCTAACATGTCCTAGTATGCTTTTATGACATCCATATCTTAGATAGTGAAGCTTATGCAGTTGCAATCCAATTCGGCTATGTATCCTAAAGATAGGATTCAGAGGATGAGAATTTTGGTGTTCCCTACATTTCCCTGTTTCGACTCTGTAATGGAGGCAAACGGGTCCGATGAGGTAGAACTGGGACTCGACGCTATTAGAGAGTGATGTAAGATACAACATAATCTTCTCTCAATAATTCGATTTGTTGGGAGAAAGTTATGCACCGATGGTGTGGATTCAGAATTAGTGAAAAACCGAGACTGCTCGTAGTTTGTGAAGGGATGCAAAGAGGACTACTCCTAACTAGAAATTGGGCATGCAAGGAGGTTAATATTATGCCCCGGAGTAGGAAAAGTATGCTTTCTGTGTTGCTATTGTTCATATTTTCGTTAAGGTAAAGTTAGTGTCTTCTCCTGGTCAAATTTTGTTAAATTTTTCACGGTTGATTTGATGTGCTATAGTATGGTCAGAATTTGATTGAGGTTGGGTAATGGTGATATGGATCTCTCGATGATTGGTTTGAAATTATATGAGATGGTTGAAATTCAAATTGCATTTTGGTTTCGTGTTGATTAGCATATCAATGCTTATTGTTTCGGTATTGGATTGATTCCAGTGCTCTGATCCCTTTGCAAAAGGTCTTGTTGGATAAATTCATGAAATATCAAAAAATTCCATAAGGAAGCCCAAACTCGACAACCTACAGGCTAAAACTACCCAAAATGTTTGTAAGCAGGCCCAAGCCCAACCAATTGAGCTTATATTCGACTAATCATAGTCTACCATTACTCTTTTGCTCTTAGGCAACAGTAACCTTGTTTTTACTTTATATATATTAATAATTAACTAGGTTTGACCCGACCACTTGGCAGGAATGTAAATTAAAAAAAAAATTAGTTTGTATCTCATGAAAATGTTTAATTCAAATGAAATTGTTGTGTATAATGACAGTACAAAATTAAACCTTTGTATATTATAGTAACTCTATAGAATACCAAACGTGTCCGGTGAATTATGATAGTGCATGACTCATTCGTGTATGGTGGTATATAATTAAATGATATTGATATAGTTTCATAACTCGAATAAGAGCGTAATAGCTATTGTGGTTTATTTTGTTGTTATTCATACTTGATGTGGTATGAGATTTGATAAAAAAAGATAAATTCGAATACAAATCTTTGAAATAATTTTTTATGAATGTTTAAAATGATGGATATGGTTTTTATTTTCTGGTTGACAGTCAATACTAACCGTTGATCTTTTCGTCATAGTGCTCTGCCTGTGGATGTCATACCTTTGACATGCATTGTTCGCAAAAAATCAATAATACTCTCGCTCTCAATCTCATAGCATTCTAGAGTCATCTCTTTTTCTATCAATTTGTTTAATGCTTTACATACTAAA